TACTTTTATTTTCAAATATGCTAGAAACGTGATTTTGGGTTGGTTAGCTAAGGGCGGATATCATGGAACGTTACTCAACCAATTTCCTTAATTAATCACATATCTTTACAATAAATTGGACAAAATTTATTTCCTATTAATGGAGAATTTATTCTTCTTCTCATCTCTCCTCTTTCTTCTTCTTCTTCGTCTTCGTCTTCTTCTTCTTCTTCTTTGACAGTCCTCTCAACCCTTGTAAATGATTTATTTTTTTAATTCCCATAACAAATAATTTTTCTTTTATTGGTAGCAAATAATTTGATTGTTAGGAAGGCATCATCGGATGCGGTTGCTTCTTTTTCGATCCCTGTGGTTGTGTTTTTTAAGATGCAGGCCACCCCTCGCGCCGCCCTCACCGTTCGCGCCACCGCCACCTCCTCCGATTCTCCTTCCGCCTCCGCCTCGGTCAAGCACCGCCGCGCCCCACGGACAAGCACCGCCACGTAATTCAATATTTCTATTCTAATTAGTCAAGTTTGAAATTGAAATTAGCGAAGAAGAAGACGAAGAGTCTGAGCGATGTCAAAACACCCGAGGCCGTGAAGAAGAAGAAAATCATGACAGCTTTTTTGAGAATTTTTTTCGTTTGATTTATTTTTGGGGTATATGTACAGTATATGTAAAGTATATGTTCACGGCAGTATATGTTGGATGTTGCGTGTATAGACAGACAGTATATGTGGTGTGTATAGGGAGTATATGTTCAGTATATTAGAAGAGTTTTTTTGTAAATTGTTCAGTATATGTTGTGTGTATAGGGGGTATATGTTCATTATATTAGAAGATGTTTTTGTATATATATGGTTTATACTCAGTATATTTTCTGTACAAATTAGTTTATGTTTGGTATATTAGTTATGTACAATATATGTTTACTATGTACTTTTTTTTCTATCTGTTCTAACAAAAAACTTCTTAGAGGATAATTGTCTAACACTTGGTGTGCTTGATTTGTTGATAGATAGTTATATTATGTACTTGTTGCGGGTATATGTTGTGGTTATATATAGTATATTTTCGGTACATGTATCGATATGAAAATTTGTATATTTCGGGTATGAAAAATTTACACGTTGCGGGTATATGTTGCGGGTATATACCAAAGTTGCACA